TATGGAAACCAATTTGACAATAAATTTCATATAAAAAAAAGTCATTCTCTTGCTTAGACTGAATTTTTTAATTTACTGAGTTTGATTAGCAAAAAAAAAAAAAAAATTCCAACAGGGTTAATAAAGATTTTGGTACTTCTAAAAGCCCTACACCTCCTTTACATCTGAAATTTAATCTGAGATTTTGATCATTCTACACAGATGGTATTTTTCTTTAAAATGTTATCCTGAACTCTTTCTTGCCGGACAATCTACCACAGAAAAGTAGTAGCACACAGTAATACCCTTACCTGATAAACTCTTCTTTTCCTCCTCTGAAAGCAGCTGCTTTTTTTGAAGGTTTAAATTCCGAATGGCAATTTCTAGCATTTCCAGTGGTACTGCTCCACATTCTACAGCTTTATGAAGAAGTTGTTTACTTTTTTTGAAATTACCTAACAAAGGAAAAAAAATTTGTCATTTAAATGCAACAATCTTGGGGCGCCTGAGTGGCGCAGTCGGTTAAGCGTCCGACTTCAGCCAGGTCACGATCTCGCGGTCCGGGAGTTCGAGCCCCGCGTCAGGCTCTGGGCTGATGGCTCAGAGCCTGGAGCCTGTTTCCGATTCTGTGTCTCCCTCTCTCTCTGCCCCTCCCCCGTTCATGCTCTGTCTCTCTCTGTCCCAAAAATAAATAAACGTTGAAAAAAAAAAAAAAATTAAATGCAACAATCTTAATTCCCCAGATACTTATTCATCAGGACCTAGGGAAAAAATTTAAAAGGCTTAGGTAAAAATATTTATTCCAAGATTCACATACCTTATTTCATAAGCAAATAAAAGCAATTTCTCTCTTCTGGTAAGAATTCTTGTCAAATAGCTTACTTATATAATAAGTAGTAAACATAATTATGCATTCATTTTAGCAACACTGCCCATTTTCAGAAAAGAAATATAACAAAGCAATATAAAGTGGGGGGCAGCAAAAACTAAATAAAACAGAAACTTAGGGGATGTAGTAAAAGGAAAACTAAGCTCTAGATGTTACTACAGTCCCAAGAGCATCAATCTGTTACAATGCAGTATAATAATCATTCATAACAACATTTAGTTATTAAGGATGACATATTTTGCTAAAGGGAATTCTCCATCAAAAGATTCATATTTTAAAAAATAGTAATAGGGACGCCTCAGTGGCTCAGTCGGTTGAGCGTCCGACTTCAGCTCAGGTCATAATCTCGCAGTTTGTGGGTTCGAGCCCCATGACAGGCTTTGTGCTGACAGCTCAGAGCCTGGAGCCTGCTTCAGATTGTGTCTCCCTCTCTCTCTGTCCCCCCCCACCACACTATCTCTCTCTCCTTCAAAAACAAACAAACATTAAAATAAAGCAATAAATCAATCAATAAATCAATAAATAAATAAAAAAAAAAGATTAGTGTTTAGCTATCAGACTTAGCTATACCGCCCTCAAATGTAAAATAACTGACACCACCATAATTATTTTTCTGACTACAGATAAACCACCAAATTTTCTTTCAATTGCCAACTTACTCAATATATTTTGTCTAGAATTTGATTTAAAATGTCAAATGTGTACATCATGTATCAATGGAATGTGTTATCAGCATTTCTGGGAGCAACTCAGCTATGCTACACACTTGGGCACTTAGGATTTAAAAATGATTAGGAAATCTCTATCTTCTGACAGTTTACAAATTTTAAGAATTTAAACATATCTGATAGTAGCTAAGTATACGTTTATTCAGAGTAGTGGTATTTCACAATTTAAGCATTTTAGGGCAGCAAAAGAAGGTAGGCTTAGATAAAAACTAGTAATTAGGGAGCTTAATAAAGTAACAGACCCCTGTGAGAGTCTGATAAAAAAATACCAAATGTCCTCTAACCATACACACCAAACTGCACATAGAATTTCAGAGATGTGCATACTTCCTAAAAACCCATTCATAATCTTGTCCAAAATAACTGCAATTTTGACCTTGAGTGATAAAATTTATTTTTTTACAGATAACAAAATTTGAGGTTTTCAATATTTGTGTGTTCTAAAGATACAAAACTTGTAGTTGCTATTGATAGGCCACAATACTTCAACAAATGCTTTAAGTAGAATGATGAAAAGAGAGAGGGTACTAAAGGCCTTGCCAAACTTCCTCGAACAAGCAAGGAGGAATCAATGTTCCTAGGCAGAAAAGGAATGGTTTTTTTAAAAGTCACCTGACAGTGCACAGGATAGATTAGAGGTGATTCAGATAACTAGGACTCAGAAATCATGTAAACACGTAAAAGTTAACGGTTCTCAAACCACTTCCTGAGCTGTTACAGTGCTCTTCTCTCACCTCAATCCTGGGAAATACATGCCAGTGACTGAGCCCTGCTTTGGGCACCGTGATGGAAACTCTGGCTGAACCAAACCACTAGCGATAATGTGTGCATCACAGGTAACAAATGGGATTAGGGTTGGAGCAGAAACAAGACAGAGGGAAACAGTAACATGTGGCCAGAGGGCAGAATGAAACCCTCATGGATCCAAAAGCCCCAGAAAATTAGAAAAAGAAAAGACTAAGGAATGGGCAGGCTAAAAATGTGAGGAAGACATTGCCATAGTTCTATCCAAAAACTCAAGACTATGAAGAATCAAAAGAACAAGAAATAAAAGCTTCCACAGCAGTTTCCTTTTTTTTTTTTTTTTTTTTTTTTAATTAAAAAGAAGAACTACCAATTAATGCTACAATTTTATTTTGGTGTATATATTTTAGTACTATGAAACCATAGTATAAGGAAAGCTTATCTAAGCACTAACTTAAGTATCTTATATGCTTCTCTCGCACAAATACTCAATGAAAAAGCCACTTTCCTTTAGACACTTCCTGAATCTAATTAATGGCACAAACACGAAGTTCACTTACATCTCTGGATTATCTGTTACAAGTAGAAAAGCTAGTATAACAAACATTCTCTACATTTACACTTTGGTGGCATTCTTCCCCCATACTCTCACCTGATCAATTTTCATGCCTTTAGCCTCAAATTTTTACTTCATATGTATGATTTAATATTAGAATGTGAGTTACAGCGTGAAGTTAACATTTTTCAAATTTGGACTTGACATTTTCAAATTACCTTGTGATAATTCAAATTGTGCAAAAGATATATGCACAAAAGCAAATTTCTTGCAGTTTGCTCTGGCCATCTGAAAGTAGTCCTGTGCGTCATCTGGCTCTTGAATACTGTAAAAAAGATTTCAGAGTCAAATTTTAGAAAAAAGGGCACAGCTACCTAAGTTCGATAACTCCTTATTCAATTTTCCAAAGGACATGGGATTCTGGTTTTTTTCTGTGTAAAATTAAATACTAATAAGTTAATTTTTAACATCTTTCTAGGCAAAGTCCAGAATACATAACTGTTGTGGAAATACATACATAGTAAACAGAGTTTACAATATTCATTTGTTAATTATAAACGGAAGGATTTGGTTAAAAAATACTAATTTTCTTACAATTAATACTAACAACATGTCTTTTATAATGTAGTTGTGTACTATGTGATGTAGTTAGTTAAACATAATTCAAAAGTGAATACTTACGCTTTTAATTCAGCAAATCTCACTTGAATTTGAGCAAAACTCTCGTTTTGGCCATATTTATCTGGAGGAAGTGCTTCAATTGCTTGACTGTAACGACCAATTAATTTATTTAAAAGAGCATCATTCAGAGGGACACTGTTTTTCTCTAGTTTGAGCAACAAATTCAACCAGTCCTCCGGGTTGTTTGCCATCATCATAATTTGGTTGACAGTTCCCGAGTTATCTGAATTAGAGGAAGAAAATATGCCACAAGAAATGCCAAATTGTACTTTTTCTTCAAATTAAAGTTAGTAATTTATATTCTTAATATAAATATAAACTCCTTAAATTATTTTAAAAACCTTAACAATTCATATAAATGTAAGCAACATATTTCCTGCATATATGTCTTCGTAAGAGTTTATTTTACTCCAAAAGTTACATATTCTGAAGGAAAGAAAAACTTTGGAAATAAGCTAGTTTTTTATAGCTTTTAAAAAACCATATCTAAGGGCACCTGGGTGGCTCAGTCAGTTAAGCGTCTGTTGATTTCAGCTCAGGTCATGATCTCACAGGTTTGTGAGACAGAGCCCTCATCATAGAGCAGGGCGTGCTTGGAATTCTCTCTCCCTCTCTCTCTACCCTTCCCCAACTTGCATGTGTTCTCTCTCTCTCAAAATAATAAACATTAAAAAAAAAAAAAAAAAACCCTATGTAGTCTAAAAAAATTTTGTCTTGTAGCAGCATAATTCTATTTCATCCCCTAACTACCCAAAGAAACTAAATACTCCCCCACTTATCACCTATAACAACTTTGTCAGAAAATTCATCAATGACTTATTCATTCAAAATTTTTAAGCGTATCTTATATTCCTCTAATCTCACAACTTCATCCATCCAACATTATCTCCATAGAAAAACTTGGCTTTAATCAATCATCAAAATCAATTATATAAATGAAAATATTCAAAAATATACATATTTTCTCCCTCCAAAGTTGCACTAAGCACGCCACTCCCTGAAATTGCATCATTATTTTTCTTCTGCACCTACTGCACTGTAGTATTTTTAAAGTTGAACAATAAATTAGAGTATTGTGTCAGTCTCCCTAATTTCTAAGGATATTTTTTGAATCATTTACCTAAAACCATTAATTTTCAGACCTCCCTGATGTTCTATCATTCTCTCTGTGGGGTGCCTTTGGGACATAACCCTTCGACCAAAATCTAATCATGCCTTCATATGCCTGTCAGACAAAAGAATACCAGTTTTCTGGTACACTAAAACATGTTTTAAAACTCTGTATGCCTTTTTCAAAACTTTGTTGCTTCCACTGAATCTTCATTGGACACAGATTTGGCTCGATCAAGTTAAGCGATCAACTTCGGCTTAAAATTCATGATCCTCGCTTTGTGAGTTCAGGCCACCCGTCACACTCTTTTGTGCTTTGTGGGGCTTGAGACCTCTTCCAGATTCTTTGATGCTCCACTCTCTCTCTCCCCACTTCCCTTGCCGTGCTCAGCTCTCTCTCTCTCAAAAATAGGCAGTAAAAGGACTTT